TCCCAGCCAACTCAAAGCCGATGGTGCATGTATATATATTCGTGTTAGGATCACAACTTGCCACGACGTTTCTGATTGGACAACATTAAAAATTTTAAAAAACCAATACTACGTATGTTACTCATGTTCCTCCGATGTATAAATTATTAAATTTCCTCCCAAGTTTGGTCATCTCTTTTTATCTTTTTAGAATTTAACTTTTAAAGTTAGTCGGTAGTTTTTGTAACATTCAGTGGAACTAGTTCTGCTCAAATGGAAGCCAAACTGATGCGCATCATTTTTTCAAAGAAAGAGGCCAAACCCAAACTGGTAGCGGCCCCAAATAAGAAGGGTGCAAAGTGTATTTAGCTCCTATTTTTATTTATTTCTGTTTTTGTAATTGACTCATATTTTAATGTCTGCAGGGAACGAATGTGTATACTAAAGTTTGCTTTCACCAACCGGGTCTTATCATGTGGAAAATTAAACTTGATTAGCAAATCAGTGATTTCAAATTCAAACTCCCATGTGTCTATAAGAAACTCCCAATTTTTTTGTAATGTAAACTATTAATTGTATGTAAAAAATAAACATTAGATTCCACTGATCCTTACATGAAACCCATTATTGAACCCTTCATAGGGTGTCCCTTTGGCAAATTAAATATACTATTTTGAACATGAAACCCAGTATTTTACACTTTATAGGGTGTTTGTTTAGCAAATTAAATCTACTATTTTTCACTGCATAATGTCTATTTTCTCTTTCTTCTTCTTTTTTGGGGTCAAAGAAGTATTGTTCTTGGGGAGTGAGTGAGTGATAGAAAGAAAGAAATAGTAGAAGGTGCATGGGGAAGAGGCGAAGAGCAGTGTGAGTGAGTGACAAGTGAAGATGGGGGCACCTGCTGCCAGTACTAGCTACTAGCTACCAACCTGGTCGTGTCTTCCTCTTGGACACGTCCAATCTTTCTTTCATCTCAACTCTGAAAAAAAGCAGAAAGAAAATGCAGTTAAAAACTTAAAAGCATATAAGCTTACTGGCTAAGGACATGTTTGGCAATTGGTGCATGGCCATGGCCCCCCAACGGCTTTAGGTGTACATGTAGCGCGAGTCTCCCGGGGGGATTCTTTACACGCTTTATATATATAAAAGGCCTTCTGATCATCTGATCAGTTTTCAGTGGGGTCTTTCTCTCTCTTCTCGTCTCCCGCTCTCTTTAAATTCTCTGGGTGCGTGCGTCGTGCGGGTGAGAAGGTGGTCGTCGCCGCCAGCTATACCTCGTGTTGCAGTGCTGCACACCCAGCAAAACGACGTCACACCACACACCCACCCTCCCATTCCCTTCTCTACATAATATTTTAATATTATTGTGACACTGTTAAGGTTAATTTGTCTTGCTCTGTTTTGCTCTTTTTCATCTATGTATGCGTCATTTGACTGACTCATTTGTACACACAGCCCTCCTCTGGGTCCCATTCCACTGTTGACCGTTGAAATTTCGTACTCCTACGGCCCTACCTTCTATATATGCGTACATATATTACTAATAATACAGATTGCACTACGGATCATCTTCTCCGGTGACCTAGTCCTCTGTATGCATGTATGAATACGATAGTATGATCACGTGTTATATATTATATATATATTATAAGTTGATATGTATTAATACTATTTCTTAAAAGGAAGGAAAATACAATATGTCGTCTATTGATATTGTAATATACGTATATAAGATATATCACGTGACCATATTATCTTAGTATTCTACAATTTCTGCTTCTTTCCTCTGTATGCATGTGTGAAAAGTGAAAGTGAGGCCCCCTCCAATGCACAATTGTACGTTATATTTAGTTCCAATATTATTTCATCTATTATTTTTCAATTCCTTTATTGCACCCCTCTTGCTAACAAGAAATCCTCACGTGATGAGTGTTACATAATGAATAAATGTATACTTCTCGGTGCGAATAAGTTTTGCCTCCAACTAAGGGCTGAAAAATTTCACTACGACTTGCTCACTTGTGCATGGGAGCGAGTGGGTGGGTATGAGTCTGATTGTGGAGCTCACATACACATATTAACTTTACATTATTAGGAAAATAAGTTCATTCTTTTTTCTCCTATACAAATGCACAAAAATAAAGAGGAAGAAAACCAATTTTACCTTGTATTTTTATAACAAATCGATTTTCTCCCCCTTCCTCATTCCTAACTTTGGCACACCCAAAAAAAGATGGATTTTCAAGGTTAGGGGGTTGCTTGTTTAGTAGTTGCAGTCTTAAATGTAAACATCTGTTAAGGGTATACTACGTCGTATCTATTCTCGGAAAGTTAGGGAGAGGTAGAATTTTTTTTTCTAGTTTATGCTCGATAGTTATGCGACATTAAGTCAATCAATTGTCATTTCATTATAAATTCTTCTAGGTGTTCGATGTGAGGTTAGCTAATGAGATTTGCATTCGGATCCTGTCGCTTGAAGGAGAAAATGAAAGCGGAATATTGCTGACCTGTTAAATGTGTAACTGGTTTAATTAGATTATAAGCTGTAAATAGCTAAGCATGTGTGTTAAGGCATTAAGATGCTCTAAACCGCTGAATAATAAAATCTAAGTCAATGGAAAAGAAAAAAAGATGGAGCGTCCAGTAAGCAAGTAAATAATACACGTCTAGATTATTCTTATCGTCATCAAATCAATAATTATTTGATGTCACAGTGGATAAAGCAGCTCCAAGAACACAGTAAAAACTTGATTAAACAATACTTTTGTCATGTTTAACTAAAACAATTAGGCAATGAGAACATCATCATTTTAGTGCTATGCTTATCCTTTAATTGCGCCTGTCATTAGTGTGCTTTGGTTAATGAGACAAAACCCCAAGGGAACTGTATCCCCCATTTGTTTGTCCATCACTTTCTCTCTCGGGTGCTTATTGGACCTGAAGAAGAATGATTAATGATTGTTAGTGCAAATTATAATGGGGTTATGGTATGGATAAGTTTTTTTATATTCATTGTTTATTTGTTTTCTGGTTTTAATTGAAGAGGGGTTATATGAGATTGATGAATGAAGTTGAGGTTCCACTCCAAAATTAATTGGCTTTATAAGCTCTTTCAAAGTTTGTTAGTTTTCAAATGTGAGACATTTTCACTTTAACAGTCTCATTCTTTTCACTTTAAGGTACTTATTTTCACCATAAAACTCAAATTAAAGTGATGGTTGCACACAAGTTCCAGCATCTAATTTAAAATTAAACATTTCTAATGTGAAATGAAGGGTTTAGCGGAATTTGTAATTGTTGAGTAACCAATAACTATTTGGTGCAGTGACATTTAGGACCTATTTGGTAACATTTTTGGAGAATGTTCACTGAAAATATTTTATGAGAATGAAAATGAGAAAACGAATTTGCATTTACATAATTCAAAAATGCATTTGGTAGATTAATTGGAAAACATATTAGAAAATAAAGATAGTGAAAACATGTCTAGTAGGACAAGTTGAGAATAATAATATGTGAGTTATTTTTGCTAATTTCTGTCCTAAAAAATATATTTTTTTAAATTCTAATATTTTAAAGGTTAAAATTATTACAAACAATGAAAAATGTATAATTTGAGAATAATATTTCATAATTAAAATAATAATAAAATCTAAATTTAAAAAAACTTAAATAATAAAATTCGATTATCTTTAGTTTAAAATAAATATGATATTTAATAATATATGATAAAATTAATATACTCTTGTGTAGTAAAATAAATAATGAAGTGGAACGAAAAATTGAAAACTGAAAAAAAATTGACAAATGAAAAAGGAAAAACAAATCAGACCAACAAAAAGAAAAAGGAAAAAAAAACAATCTGACCAATACATTAGGTAGAAAATGATAAATTGGTGTTTTCAATTTTTGTACATGAGTTTGAATTTGTTTTCAAAAAATGAATTTTAGTAAAAATAAAAAAGACATACCGAACGCATTTTTGATAGAAAATGAAAACGGGGCTTTAAAAACGTTACCAAACGGTCCTTAGTCACTATTTTGTTAGAAGATACCATCCTGAAGGTTGTGCATGAATATTTTCATAATTTTACTAACAGTAACTTGTTGAATCTACAATTCAATTAACTAGTAGAATTTTTTTCTTATAATGACATATAAAAAAATTATCTCACGTGTTATTGCGCTATTGGCCGAAAATATCTAAAAATGCTATACTCGTTGCATGAAAGTCTTAGTAGAGCTATATTAACTTAAATTTAAAAAATTAAATAACAAATAAAAAGAAGAAGAAACGATTTTTTTATAATAAAGATTCAAAAGAAAAGAAGAAAGTTAAAATAGTGCCCCAAATGTCTATATATGCGAAAAGAAACGAAAACCATATTAAATTAAATTAAATTAAACGAGAAAGAAGCAAATAAAAGAGTCAAAAATGGGAAACGTCCGTGAAACAAAGGTTAAAAATCAAGACTAAGAGGGAGAGAGCAAGAAGATCAGAGAGAGAGATGGAAGAAAAATCTACAATCTATTGAGTTGCCTTATCGCTAGGTCTCCTAGAGAGTCATAGCTTTTAAGCATTTTCAAATATTTCTCTTTTCTTTCAACAAAGCAAAGCCAGTCTCTTTCAACCTCACCCTCACAACGGGGAGCCCCGAGTTGCCGGTTCCGGCCACGCTATCTTCTCCACTTCCCTCCTCTCTCTTATATTCCCAAACCATCAATAATGATTCAAACGCAAGCACAATTGATACATATTCTGTAACGTAATTATAACATGCTTAGTTCCCCGTTTAGCTTCACTTCCTGGCCTCCATAAGTTCATGGCTTGCCAGTAATATTACTTCCCATTTCTCCCACTCAACTCCTTGACCTTTTTTGCGTATAAAAACTCCGGCCATGCTTTGTTTGTCCACTAGGGTTTTGGTCTCTTCCTCTCTTGCTCTATTTCTTCTTCTTGCTTTAGGGTTTTAGTTTGCTCTTGTTGATTGGAAATCATCTGGGTTTGTTGAGAGGAAATGGAAGAGTACAACCAAATGGATCATGAGAGCTCAGGTGGTAGAGGAAATTTCCTGTACGCCTCACCAAATCTTGGAGGCAACTATGGGAGGGCAAGCCATGATCATCAGATTGGCATCAACGCCTTTCATCTTCAATCGAGCGGTGGTGGTGATTTTCACTCTCCAGGAGGAGGACACCCAATTAATGTCAAGACTGAAGCCAGCACATCCCATCACGGCCATCACAAATTTCAGTACAACAACAACAGTAATAATAATCCTCTTCTGTCATCAAGAGGGCACCAACCAGTAGTTCAACAACAGCATAATCTGGACCGTCAAAACGATGATCACACCTTGAGCTCCAACGAAGTGGAAGCCATCAAAGCCAAGATCATCGCCCACCCTCAGTACTCTAACCTCCTGGAAGCTTACATGGATTGCCAAAGAGTAAGTGTTTTATTAATTAATCAGTTATATTCATGTTTATTTAAGTAATTAAAAACGAACTTATATATATGTGTGTGTGTAGGTGGGAGCTCCGTCTGAAGTGGTGGCGCGGCTAACAGCTGCTAGGCAGGAGTTTGAGGCAAGGCAGCGGTCTTCGGTGGCTTCAAGAGAGGCTTCAAAAGATCCAGAACTCGATCAGTTCATGGTGATTCATTTTTCCAATTTCATTAGTCTTCTTAGTTCCCTATATTATTACATGAACATTTGCTTGAATTTTTGTTTTTCCTATTTCTATTTGGATCGGTGACAATAAAATAATAAGCAGGAAGCTTACTATGATATGTTGGTGAAATATCGAGAGGAGCTAACAAGGCCCATACAAGAAGCCATGGATTTCATGCGGAGGATTGAAACACAGCTCAACATGCTTGGCAACAATAATGCTCCTCCTCTTCGCATCTTCTCACCCTCTGGTAATTTTAACTCGGTTTCTCTCTGCACACTCACATCACACACGTATAACTTTTGGGGAATATATTCTTAAGATATTTAGTAGCATTGGAAAGGAGCTTGTTGGAATGACAAAATTGATGTGGGTTTTGCTTTGGTCTTGGGATGGTGCAAAAAAAATAAAACTCTCGTCCGACTGTTTTGTCTCTCTTTGAGAAACCAAAACTTGTCAGTTTCTTCTTTTCATTTGATTGAAGTGGCGGGTAAAATCCTGTGTACATGTTATGGGTTGAAGGGAAGAACTTTGACCCCCATCAAATAATGTGCCTTCCCATGGCGAAGAACAAAGAGGGATGAGCTAAAGCTAGACGAAGAAGAAGCAATAACCCCACACCTACCCTTTTTAAATTGATTCACGAGTGAGTGGCTTAATTAGTTAACATACCCAAATGATCACGAGCTTAATAGTGTGATGAAGACCTAATTTTTTGCTTATTTGTGTTGATTTTTAAAGAAGATAGATATATCCACATTGGAAAGAAAAGGAGTATTAATTAAGACAAAACAGAATTCGTGTAGCTAGTCTCTGACAAATTCTCATTCTTATTAGGGTTTCTTGCCCCAAATCAAGACGTCCTTTCTGGTTCATAAATTCTATATAGAGAAGGAATGATTGTCTTCATTCCCGAGCCTCACTAGATCCTGCTAAAAAGGGTTGTTTCTAACTATAATGTTGTGGATAAACAAAATCCCTAAACCTCATACAGACCAAAAAGAGAAGACAATCTTATAATAGAGAGAACATAGGATGCTGTTTAAATCAGCTACATCATGTGGTCAGTACGGATATGTCAGAATTAAAATACAATACCACCATTTATTAATTTCCATGCTACTAGCTAATAGCTCTACGCCCTATATGTACTGACCCAGATTTGACTTATCTTCAATTCATGCATATTATTGTTGTTTTCGTTTCTGGTGTTGGAGTTGCCTAGCTAAACCTATTAGCTAGCTAGCTAGCTACAGAAAAGTAATTCTTTTGTTAGGTAGCTGTTCAGTCAAAACTGAAAGTAGTGGCCATGGAGATCAGTCTGTTTATCACTCCACACGCAGGCTTCATATATCCTAACCTTGATAGAAAATAACGTTGACCGATTAATTGATGTGAAAAAAACTTTTTGAGATAATCTAGATAATATATTTTCAAGAAAAAACCCTTTTTTATTGTTAATTTTTACGTGAAGAATTGCAAAAATCCTTTGGTTGAGCTTCTGTTTCTGTCTGCCAAGGTTTTGAATAGTGTATCCAAGGTGGTGCTTCTCCCATAAAAAATATTCGTCCTTTGGGAATGTTTTTTTTGGGGTAAATATGTAATCAATCATGTTATGAATTTCAAAATGTGTTGTTTTTTTTGGTGAAAATGATTTAAGATATGATACAAAACACCAGAGTTTTGCTGAGAATATTTGTTCTTAATTAAGCTAATAGTCACAAGTTTGAGTAATTTGATTGGTACATATATACTGCATATACACAGAGGACAAATGCGAAGGAATTGGTTCATCTGAAGAGGAGCAGGAGAATAGTGGTGGAGAAACAGAAGTGCCTGAGATTGATCCAAGAGCTGAAGACAGAGAGCTCAAGAACCACCTGTTGAAAAAGTATAGTGGTTACTTAAGTAGCCTGAAGCAAGAGCTTTCCAAGAAAAAGAAGAAAGGGAAATTGCCCAAAGATGCCAGGCAGAAGCTTCTCAGTTGGTGGGAGTTGCATTACAAGTGGCCATATCCTTCAGTATGTTTCCCCCCTAAATCCTAATATAGATTATATGAACATTTCTTGCTTGCTATATTCGTGCTATGTTACGAGGCCTTTAATCTAAACGTTGAGTAGATGACTTTTTATAATTTGACAACATAATATGCCAGATATGTAACACTAGTTTACTACATACAGGAATCGGAGAAGGTGGCATTGGCCGAGTCGACAGGTTTGGATCAGAAGCAAATAAACAATTGGTTCATAAATCAGAGGAAGAGGCACTGGAAACCCTCAGAGGACATGCAGTTCATGGTGATGGATGGTCTACACCCTCAGAATGCGGCCCTGTATATGGATGGACACTACATTGGTGATGGCCACTACCGTCTGGGGCCGTGACCGAAACAAGTCATCAAGAAGTTGTGGCCTCTTCTGCTCGTGCAGGGCTGTCACATGGAAAGTTTGGTTAAATTAATTCCATATATATCCAAAAGACAAAGCAAACTGCTTAAGTCATAGTTTGTGATTTGTATTACTAGAAACTTGGGAAATGAATGTTCTACATTCCAATCTGATAATTTATATATTTTCTTTTCTGTTATTACAAATGTTGTACTTTGTTACTCAAATTTATCCAGTGTGGTCTACATGTTTCAGTTTCTATAGTCGTCGTTGACTCGTTTGCGTTTTAAAAATCGATTTGGGATATTATTAAGACGTTCTAGAATTAATGTTGCCTAATTGTGGAAAGCCCTTTTGAGTAGGAGTGCAAAAACATAAACTGATTTGCAGCATCGGTTGGGCTGGTCTGGTCCATGGTGGCAGGGCGGCATAACTTACTTATAAAAACATGATATTTTAAATAGGATCGATCTAAATGGTAATGAAGTTAGGTTGGTTCGGTCCAATCAGATCAGACCCTAAACTTCTAAGAGGATAAGTTTTTTTTTTTGGGTTGTTTGTTAAGGATATGATAAATTAAGTTTAATCCACAGTTCTTGGAATAATTGTCTTCAATGGTAGAGGGCACATTCAACTGGTTTAATAGGACGGACAAAACATGTTAGGTTTAATAGTTACATGGTGTTTGATAGGCCTCCACGGGTCATAAAAAAACAACGACGATATAAAGACGACAGAAAGCAGACACTCACGACTATTGTAACGTCAAAAACAGAAAAACAAGGAAACCCTCCTCCAATCCAAAACACAAACGTTGGCCTATGGTCTGCCCATTAAAGTTGAAACTGATCAATTTGAGTCATTTTCCGATAGCATTATTATAGGTAGTTAGGTAATTAATATATATGTAAGCACTTTCAGAAGTTGTGGATGGTGCCGTGCTCTTGGAACCCGGCTACAGTTTGAGAAAGAAAAAAAATCATGTCATGAATAATTGGTTTAGGTAAATCCCATTATAAAACAGTACGAATCTTATCTTTTCACTATTACTACAGAGATATTTGAAGCATAAGCAATTGAACAAATAATCCACGTCCTCATCAACCCTACGTAGCATCTCTCTCTCAAGGAAAATTCTAAGTATGATAACAGCAAAAGAAACTTTTGAAGGTGTGTGTGTGCGCTTGTGATTGGGAAGTCTCAAGACAGAAATGGGACAAATTCTTTCAGTTCGTTTGTGATAAATTTGATGCTTATTATGAATTTGTATTACATACGCATTGGCATTTTCCAATTCCTTTTTGGTAAATCCAAAATTTTGATTACGTTTATACAACAGTAAAAGAAGAGGTGAAAGTATACCACCCAAAAAATAAAACCCTTAGAAAAACACAAAAAGGTGACAACAAGAGAACTGTGGATCAGTGGCTATGGGCTGAACAACCCAACCAATTTACCATTTCCATGGTTTGGGCTCAATGTTATGTGCAGTAGTGGTCTGACCGTGACTCAGTGTGAGCTCAACTGCAACCCAACTTCAGCTCTTTCAAATTATAATCAGCTCACAACTGAGAGAGGATCTATATACCAAAGTGATGCGGTATTGAGAAAATCTGAAATTTGAGAGAAACTTACATATCACGGTCATATCAAGTAACAAGAAAGATAAAGAGAGATTAGTAAACCTATTCTATAAGACTTGTCTACAATAAGTTTGAGAGCAATTTTAATCGCCGCCCTATTATGTATGCAGATTGGTAAACTTACTAATTTTAGGGTAATATGAGAAGAAGAAAAATTATATCACCGACTCTGTAATTAACTCATCACATTGCATAATAAAAAATGGCTATACGAAGATTAGTACACCTAATAATTTTGTATTAAAGTAAATATAGCGCAGCCTCATACACTAAATGGGTACTTTTTGAGTCATTATCCAATAAGCATTAGCTTACCACTTGGTGAAGTTATGGATCCATGATATTGACCCATGCTGGTTAGGATATATATTTCTCTAGGCAAAGACAAGAAAAGAACAATATCTTTTTTCCCAGATTACGAATTAGATTTGTCTCCTTCACCCCCATGCCCCGACCTAACACGGAACAAGCACTCACTGAACAATCATCATCCCGGACCACATTGGCTAAAATATATGTATATGATGCCAGGCCTAACCCAAATCTATTGGTATATTCCAATGTTTTTTTCTCCATTTAATTTGTCCAAAAGGGATATAGATATTTTATTATTCATTATATCTAGAGTGTTGGATATTTTGTTTCTATATAATATGCCTACCACTCTACATCCCAATTGGTGAGAAGGCTGCCTAATTATATTAATTACCATCGTCATTATCAACCACGCAAGTCTAAAGCTAGCCCTGACTCGTTCTCCAGGAGAGTTGGAGTTAGGGTCAGTGTTTGAACCGGTGAATTGGTAAACAATAATTAATTGAGATGAAAAAAATCAATAAAATTGGATTCGGTTATTGTTTTTTGTCACTTCAAAAGCAAATGATGCCAGTTATATAAGTTTTATTTGTTTTGACATATGTCTATTTTTCATTGGGGATAACATTGTTTTGTTATTTCGTGCTAATAATACAATGACACGTGAAAAAGTTATCCCGCTTGTCATTGTTCTGTTGACTAGAGATAGCAAAAAGTACTATTTTTGTTGGATGAAAGTCTCTCTCCTCTATCTCTTCCTCTTTTTCCTTCTATTCCTCAAACCGAACAAAATTGATTGGTCGATTTTTGGAGTGAAGTGGCCGAACCAAGACCCACCCTAGTTGGAGCAATGTGGAAAGAATTGTTGGTACTTGAGAACGAAGTTAGAGGAACAGATAACACGATTACGACCATAACTATGATGCCGATGTTAATTAACCTTTTGATCATGATTGCAACGAACAACAACAACAACAACAATCAAATTGTGAACCGCTATTTGTATTGTCTTAATCAATCGATCATCTTTTACACTATATTTCAAATAATTTAATTGAAAAGGTTTTGAAGTCTAAAAACGTGCATACTCCCTGCAGCAGGCAAGTGGCAACCAACTTTGGTCATTGAACACCATTATTTATGATCACTAGTATCTTTATCTATATCTATACCTATCTTAGGTCTTACTCATGCCAGAGGCCCATAGCTTAGGCTTTTCCTTGTGCTTCTTTTCTCGTTCTTTGTCTTTTATGAACTGTGTCTTTGGTTAACAAATTAGACTGGGGAGTGGGCACAGCTAGCAAACTTTAATATATATTTCAGAATCACAAACCTGTAAATACTCTCCTATCCTATGCTACTGCCAAAAATATCATTATCAGATTACGCAAAACAAATTAATAGTCGGTTTGTAAGGCTTGGAAAGTATCCCTTTTCCCCATCTTTCTTGCTTTCTTTAACATTAAATATTAAGTTTTTCTTTCTCTTTTCTTTCCTCCTTGGATGGAAGATTACAACATACAAAGCTGCACACGTCAACGGGACGACGTTCAAGGATGGATGATAATAATATGATATGGACTTGGCAAATTCGGTCGGTTGTTAATTTCAACCAAAATAACATCTTCTTTTTTTGGGTTGGGTTCCTTCCTTTCCTTTCTAAATAATGACATTTGGAATTATCACAAGTTTTCATGATGTTTTTTTTTGTTTTTGGTTTTTTTTTATGCGATTCATGATGTTAATAGGTCATGGACTCGTCACTGTATTATGAATGATTTATTTTTTCCTGTTCTTGGGTTTCATACTGTCATAAGACAAAGCCATGTTAGATAAAAAACTTACAAGTTATGTACCTTCTAATTAAGCAAACACAGATTGTTTGTTGTCGTTTTTGTTTTCTAGTTTGAGAGATTTTTTGTTCTAAATCAAATATATCGAGTTCTTTAATTACTTCCTTGTGAAATATAATTTGTGTTTGTTCATGAAATTAATCATATTCGGTATAACTCACAAATCCTTTTAATAAAGCAACTGATTGCTATTGCTATTGAATGTTGCAAGAAATTCATCGAATTGATTTTCAATACCTCAGTCCAAATCACGTCCACCAACTTTGCTGAAATTCATAGAGGCTGATCAAGTAGGTTTAATTAAGATGGACTTGACAAGCTTCCCATACCCTAAACATGGCATTACGTACAAATTAAAGTAAACCTAACTAGCTAGATTTGTCATTGGACAAGAAACAAGAAGACAAGGATCCTTCACCATACGACTAAATCGTAAAAAATTTACAAATATTTGTAAATAAAGAGAGAGAAATAGACAACCTCTCTACAGTTAAATTTCATTGATCTCTATACAAATTAATTTGAACTTTAGCAAGCTGTAGATGGATGGGTGCTAAAGGGGTTGAAGATCAAGTGAGCAGGCTTCGATCCAATCAAAAAGGAACTCGTCGACGACCCATGATGATTATGGTGGTCACCGCCGTTGCAGATTTTTTCACAAGAAGGGCACATGGTGAGAGTGGCTGTTGGAAACTGCATGTAAAAGGGTGGTGCTGCTGCTGTTGCCGTTTGTTTCATTAACTTGACCTCTTGCAGCTCCTTGTGTAACCTTCTGTTCTCTTCTTTCAGCGTCTCACAACACTTTTTCAACAACTCACAATCCGCTTCAGTTTGCTTCAACTTGGTCCTATACATATATATAGAACAAATTAAATTTGAGGCTATATATTTCTCATGCAAGCATCAAACATCTTGGAAATTATAAAGAATAAGATTTATCGAGCCTACCTGGCCCTCCTGTTTTGGAACCAGACTTCCACTTGTCGCGGCCGTAGATTTAGCTTTCTTGCCAGGTCTTGCTTTTGCTTCTGATTTGTTCAAGAAAAGAAAAAATAACAAAAAGAAAACTCAAGCTTTTATAATTTGAAAAACAATGATTTTCCCCACAAATTATGGACAGATAGATAAGTTAATATGGTGTAAAATATTTACGGGATTGAGGGTGGTGTGTTCTCTGAAACTGTCTTCCAAAGTGGCAGATTGTTCTTTTGAAAGCCTGAGCTTCTTTCTGGGGCTGTCCTCATGATCTTGCTCATATAACTCCTCGCTTGCTCTTGACGAAGTGATATTCACCACTCTCTCTTCCTCTACCTCTACCTCTACCTCTACCTCTACCTCTATCTCTTCACCTCCCAACTCTCTGTCCCTCTTGAAACTTGACGAGTTAGAAAACGATGAAAAGGCGCCGCTGCAGGGAGAAGAGGCCTGTTCCTGTACAGCTACTGCCTGGTGCAAATCAGTCGACTCGGCCTCCTCAATCTTTGAAGCAGCCGATGGGCCTAGCGTAAGAGAAGGCAATAGGTGATCATATTTCAACTGTATTTGCTTGTTCTTGTACGTGTTTCGATGATGATGATGATGATGATGATGATCAGGAGGAGCCTGCAAATTTGTATGGTCATGATCTGGGCTGTCACGGCAGCCTAGGCTGAGACCAAGGCCTGTGTGACAAGCTTCATCAAAACTCATCTCTCTCTAGAAATTTAAAACTCAGCTAGCTGAATAAATTTATTTTTGGGGAGGGTTGGCTTGTGGGGTTGGGTTTATTTAAGCAAAGGGACGTGAGTGAGAGGAGGAATGTGGTGTTTTGTGGAATTATAAGAATTCGATCGACCCCATGCCACTTTGTCCTCATAGGTTGACCAAGTATATCAAAACAAAACACAAACAAATTCTTTACTTGTCTATCTTATTGTCTTTCTGTAATGTCTAATTGATGTCTCTATACAATTAATGTGTGCTGTATAGCGTACGAAGCTAATTAGTCTGTAATGTAATGTAAGCATGCGTGGAGCCACATGGAATGTGGGTGTACACAAGAACGCATAATAAAGAGAAGACAATGATGATTCGGCGCTTTTCACACCTTTTCTTTTTTCCACTTTTTTCATCTACTGGATTTTCACTTTACATATTATTTATTTCTACCACAACTATTTTATTCTACAAATCTTAATTACTCTTTTACAACTGGACAGGGTGCATGAGAGAGATAGAGATAGATTATTCTGGTATATGGTATGTATTGTTGAGAGTATTTGTTCTACACTAAAAATTTAAGAGAATTAGTTTGGGTTTATAAGAGTTGAGCTATTTCTCCCACTGCCAATTGATTTTGGGGTGAAAACTCAATTTCCATCATGATATTAGAGCCAGGTTTCACGTGTTGGGCCTAACGGCTACACGTGCTCTCACGCCATCTAATATGTATTGTCTACGTGTTAGGCTTGAAACACTCAACTTCTTTCATGTATATACCATCACATATTCCTTTTTGGTATAGATTGAATAAACAAATCAATATACTGAAACAGTGTATATACGTTAATTAATAACAAGGGTGCTGATGAAGACTGAGGCACAACATTAGTTACTTAACGATTATTGGGGCATTTAAGCGTTTTCATTTTTAGTAAATAAGTAGGTGTTTTAAACTATTTAAATGTGAGATCAGACAAACAATAAATAAATAACAAATCCTATTCGTTGTGGTGAATTAAATGAAAGCAATCCAATCCAAGGGAGGAGACAACATTCATAAGAGTCTGATGAAGACCAATCCGTTGTGTTCCTGCATGTAGACACAGTCGCAGACCACCCAAATGCCTCTTACCCTCTACCATCTTTAGTTACTTTTTTTTTCCTTTTTGATACAGTCTTTAGTTACTTTCACAAATTCTAAATTATCACCTTCCTATTGCCATCTAACTTTCTAGACTCAGAAATTTTAAGAGCATCTTTTGTGAAGATAAGTGATGGGAAATGATAGCATTTGTACGGTTAATCCACCGACGAATCTTATAAGTTCAATGCATCCTTTATGCCAGTCATAATTTCAAAAATCTTGATACAGTTTTGATTAGACATCTAACCGTCAGAGTGATGCATTTTTCAAAAATTTATTTGTGTATGTTAACAGCGTGTTTGTTCACGAAAATAGTTATTCATGACATGGACATAACTTAAGGAATGAAAGTTCGTTACCCTTAGATGGCATAAAGATTAGAGATAGGGTTATCGTTATCCTGGCTAAGCCTTCGTCGATAAGTTTCTAGTGCGATCAAGCAGATAGAGATATATTGACTTTGACACAGTGCCAATCAATTAACAATTCGGCCTAAAAGATGATTGGGAATAATTGGGTTAATTTAGAACGTAGAAAGAAAAAAAAAATATTCCTTAATCCATCACTAACCTTAATTTCAGAACAAAAGGAAAAAAAGAAAGCTTAGAATGAAAATAATACTAATTTTGCTCGTCTTATTGAACATAATAATATATACCGTGATTAAAAGTAGTGAGCAAAATTGTTATCGTTTACACTAGTTTCATTTCCACTAGTGACCACGTGTCTATAAGAGAGGCTTGAAAGGGATGCTAACACGTGCAAAGGCGGCAATGGATAGGCAAGTGGAGCCCACAAATGATTTTGCATGATGGGGCATTTGAATTGATTCTTAAGGGTGATAATTATAATTGTAGCCAAGCCTGAAGACCTAAATAAGACACTAGTGTATAAACTATAAAGCATGCAATGATGGATGGATGTGATGAGACTATTGTGGTGTTGGAGATAAGGTTTCAGACGTGTTTCCGGGCTTTAAGGCCAGCCGACCAGTGAGAATGTGGGATTGTGCTCAGTGTTTGGCTTTTCCACATCCCCCTTTCTTTCTTCCCCATACCCTAAAACCCTCCATGTCAAATTAGTACAAAGCCACGACTTTTGTCTCCATTTCTATACGTAGTCACAAGACCACCTATATATTTTTAATATGAAATCATTATATAACCTAAGAATAATGGAAAAGAAGTTTGTAGCTCAAGTAGTTATCTTGCATTCGAGTTTCTGTGTTAAAAAAGGAAGACGTCAAGAATAAGATTGAATTAGCTACGATTATTCTATATTTGGAGAAATATTGTTGCATTTACACAAATGTGAAATCTTTGGCAGTGTGTATTTTTGTTTTGAGGTAGGGGAATAAATTCGAAGAGGAGATGGGATGGGACAACAAGAGTCTAGTCAGAGTAACATAAGCAAGTCATTGATTTGGAAGAAAAATGAGAGAAGCATCATCAGCAAGGCACCGACTTTTCCGAAAGCAAAGCCTTTTGCTTACCCCACTGGGATTGTATGCTTACTGTTTGTGTGAGACTAATTAAGTTTTCAGATTGGAGCATCTATCATTTGGACCCAAAAATAGATATATAGGTCATGTCATCAGCGAACCCCCCACCTCACATTCCTTGAATGCGACTTCTTCACTCTCAATCTTTGGGTGAGTTAGTTCAATTTAATCTCTGTTTAACAATCTATTATATAAATAAATGTGAGTTAGATCAGTTGGTTAAGGGAGTGTGTCCGTCCCTTGTATCCGAGTTTAGTCACCCTCCCTTGCATCCAAATATCACCTTGTTAAAAAAAACCAGTTTACTATATACAAGAAATTATTAGAACTGAATAACTAATTAAATCATGACAATTTGATTGAAAATGAAATGGGTTTCGTCGAAGATATCATCACCTTCTTTATGGGCACATGCTCGTGAATTATGGGCTCTTTTTTTGTGAACTGGTGTGCGAAAAGGACCAGGGACCCCACGGAAATTTGGGTGTCAAGAGTGGCTTAACACTAACATAGCAAGTACGTAAAACCACATATCATATATGTAATGTTCAAATGGTGTGTCGTATTAAATATATAAGACTTGTCGTGTACAATTTGAAGAAGATCTGAATCAACCAATACTCCAGTCCAAACCACAAGCAGGCAATGTCGTGTGCCCCCTTCGATCTTATCATCATGACAAGATGTTGGACCTTTGACATGAAAATAGTAGAGGCACGATGGATCTATATATGTTGGGCTTTTGGGCTTCAATGGCTTGGTCATTGTCAGCCTTGCGAGTAAGTGGTGACCTTTCTGATCGTTGATGCATATTGGTCTATATCTCATCAACGGTTAGAAATCTCCCGCATGAGTGTGGACGGGGAAGGTCGGCCCTATCAAAATCCAGTAAAGATATGAAAGACACTTATAATGATAAGGAACTTTATATGAGGCTTTTATCTCAAGTGGTTAAGAGCATTTACCCATGCACTGGAGGTTCTAGATTCGATTCTTTCATCTTCAATATTGCTTGTATATATATTAAACATAATAATAATAATGAGAAGGAACTTGGCGATTGTATTGAACATAGGCACTAAGGGAATGTTGGGCCAGATCAACTCGGCCCAAGCAAAACATATATGGGTTCAGGTCCAAAAATATCAAACTCTTGATTGGGCCCCTGGCCTTTGTTAATTTGAATATGAGGCCTGCCTGGCCCAGCCCAGACCAAATTGCTTTAACGGGTGATTTGCGTGTCCCACGGGTATTTGGTACGTGCCGGACAAACCCACCAAGACAAGAGGTGCCCACTGCCCAGTGATCCATACCGAGCGATGTGATCAGAAGCCAGAGCCTCGTTGTCGTCCCGAAAAGCCTAAAGAAATTTCCAAATTGCCCATCAAAATTTTCTGAAAAAGCTCTGCAATCTCTGCATGCGTAGGTGAAATGAGGTGACTCAGGTGAGAGACTGCGGAGAGAGATGGCTCCCAGCCTTGCAATATTTACTCTGCCGCATTATCTCTGCTCTGCCACCAACAATTACTGCAAGGCATGCAATTTTTTGAAGCAATCGCATTTTCTCAATTTGTATTATAAAGTTGGTATTATAAAGTTTGCCTTTGCGTTGCATGTGTTAATGCAGCAGCAGCAGCTGCTTCGACTGTCGCCGTCTTCGCTGGGCCCAGCGGCTTTGCTCGCCGCCTCCTCCACCACAAGCCTCCGAGCCGTTTCTCCATCTCATCATGCCTCCAATGGGTACACATACCAGACCAACCACCTTTACTTAATTTAACTAATCCATATCAAACCTTAATTACATTTCCGCTTGTTTCTGCTAAAAAAATTCTTCTTCTTCTTGAAAAAGAACAGCCAAACGTCTGAATTGCCTGATACAACTTGGGATAACCTTGGATTCGACAAACCCATATCAGCTGATTACATGTTTATCATGAAGAGTTCCGAAGATGGAAGCTTTTCAGATGGGGGGTTACAACGTTTTGGGAAAATCGAATTGAACCCAGCAGCCTGTGTCTTGAACTATGGCCAGGTTAGTCTTCTCGTTATATAACATGCCTTGCCCCCTTATTTTATTAGTACCCACAATTCAATTCTGGGTCTGATTTGAAACTTGGCACTATAGCTTCTTTGGTGTTTCAACTTGATATTGATACATTCATCTTCTTACATAAAAAATATTTGATTTCTGTACATTATTATTCAGTCTGCATAGTTTTAAGATTAGTTTAATTTGTGCAAAGAAAAGTTCCTTTCTTTTTTATTCAGGGAATAATTGAAGAATTGAAAGCCTACAAGAAGCCAGACAATTCTATATTACTATGTCGCCCAGAGGAACATGGGTTGCGGATGAGAGTGGGTGCAGAGCGCCTGCTTATGCCTGCACCAACCGTTGAGCAGTTTGTGGAAGCTGTCAAAGTTACTGTATTGGAAAATAGACGTTGGGTAAAGTTACAACATGTTTCTTCCTAAGACAAGTCCTCCTTCTGTTGTATGTTCTAGTCATTCTACTCAGTGCCTCTCTACAGGTTCCCCCACCAAATAAAGGCTTTCTACATATTCGACCACTACTTATTGGGAGCGGACCTGTTCTTAGTCTTACACCAGCTCCAGAATTCATCTTTCTGATTTTGGTGACCCCAATGGGGGACTATTCTAGGGTAAATTGTTTAATTTATGTTCAAACTAATCTATGTTTTGGAGTTGTATTTTGTAAGCTGTAACCTTTCCCTTTTTGAAAAGGATTTTATGTGGCAGGTACTCTAATTCAACTATAACACATTTTTCATTTCTATGATGGCGACAGGGAGGCTTAGAACTGATCAATTTGGTGGTTGAAAACGAAATCCATCGTGCAGTTCGTGGTGGAGCTGGAAGTGTAAAGGCCATAGGAAATTATGCTGCTGTAATTTCCACTTACCACTTATTCACATAGCGCTTAGTGGCTGTTTATCGATTGGTCTTCCTGTTGGCGCACTATGGTCATTTTGGCATTCTCACTGTTTAGCAATTCATAAAGAAGCTTCTGCTGATTGCTCGAAGCTGGCTACAACAAATCTTGCTTTATCCGGGCTCTTATCATTTTCTATGACAAAATGAATTCAGTGTGTTTTTTTTATTTTTTCCGGATACAGAGGATTTTCTGTTTCATACAAAGCTACACAAGGAGATCTAACGAGGCTGAGATTATATATTGCTGTTTTGTTTAAGTTTCATTTCTGCATTCAAAATATGGTCATATCATATATGCATTCAATGATCAAGGACTGATATGAAACCCTTGATTTCTTTTAATAGATTTTGAAGGCACATATGGAAGCTAAAGCAAATGGTTTCTCTGATGTTTTGTTCCTCGATTCTGTTCACCGAAGATATGTTGAAGAGACTTCTACTGCTAACATTTTTCTCGTGAAGGTATGGTTGAAGCTCTGGCTTTGGTTATCAACAATTGTAGGCTATATATCATCTATTGAACCGTAAGTCGGTTAATGTTTTTCATAAAAATGTAACTGATAGGATAAGATTATCTCCACGCCAGCATTGGGAGAAGGGACAGTTTTGCCTGGCGTTACACGTAAATGTGTAATTGAAATTGCTCGCAGCCAAGGGTATCAGGTATGTATTTTAGGTAACTAAAAAGGTACATAGCTAGGTCTCTCCTGCAATCCTTTATTTTTTTTGTAACTTTTTCTTCATCGCCAACTGAAAGAGTACATTATTTTTTTGCTTTTCTGTTGGTCATCCTTCTTGTTTCATACTTCTGTGAGCAGTCATCAATCTGCAATTGGCTCAGCTGGAACCACATGTTAATGTCTTGCTTGATAGGATAGATCATACTGTGTGTTTGGTATATAACCCAGCATATCATGTAGACACGTCTTTTTGCCAACTTCAAATTGTAGTTGGCACCGCCATTCTGATGGGTACTTTTAACTAATCATTTCCCCCCCTTTAGATGATAAGTTGTCATTTGAATTTCTGTGATCAGTTAGCATAAATTCTATGATTGGTAACGTTTCTAGGATTTTCAAACAGGTCTGATTACTCATTCAGGCCTTTGCACCCAATATATGACAGGTTGAGGAACGCCTTGTGTCGGTCGAGGAATTATTTGAAGTTGATGAAGTCTTCTGTACTGGAAATGCTGTCCATTTATCACGTGTGGGCAGCATAACTTACCTGGGCAAAAAGTGAGTTTCTTATATTTTGGTTCCTTGATACGATGATGTCCATCCTTTGTTTATTACTTGTGGCCCTAACTTAGATGTCTTTAATTAGCTATTCCTAGAGCTAAGATTTCTCTGTTCTTGCAGGGTGTCTTACTGTGAATCTGGACCTGCTGTCGTGTCTCAGCAACTGCACCGGGCGCTGTTAAATATACAAATGGGTCATACAGAAGACAAGTTGGGTTGGACAGTGACCTTGAAGTAGGAAGGATTGATCACGGATGTTAACAGAACTTCCAGTTGTGAGCAACAGCTCTGTAGAATGAATAAACATTGTTGTAGTCTAAATGTAAGCCAACTCCATATACGTCCAACAAAGTCGGACCACAGTTTGAAGTCTATTTAGCCCTTTTCAACTTTCATTTGTTAATTGGCAATTCAATCTCTAGATATCTTCCGATTACGATGAAGAAGAACATCATCTTTGGACTAGTTAGTCAAAGAAGCAACGTATCATTTTCAATACTCTGTATTTTTGTCCTTTTAGACCACAGAGGCCGTATTTAGAAGACAGTACGGCATGCCAAGTTCATGGATTTCTTATCCAGTAATTAAATTGTATTTCTTTATTTTCGCCTGACCTGGCATCCTCAGCATTGAAAACGTGTTGTCATATATAGTTATCTGCTCCTATCTTCTTTGAAGGTTATCAAACTTGTCATATCCATCTCATTCTTGTTGATAAGTGAGTGATAACTCAAACAATGGTATTTTTGTATGTATTATAATATTATTATATAGAAGGACCCTCCAATATGGGATTAATGGCTACGTACTCTGTTTCCAGATCCCCCCATACCAATTTGGCTCTTTGTACCCGTATTTTTCTCACTTGCCGCTCTATTAATGTGACTCATAACCCATCCTTCTCTCTGTCTCTGTCTCTGAGTCTTATCTCTTTTGCTTTCAATTCTCAAATTCTATCTCCTGAATATAGTCTAGGTTCATTTGCTGGGTGGGGTTGTTTGAGAGGTCAAAGCAGAGAGACATCAGCCATGATTCAAAGGACAACCCGACTTCATAAGTTGGTTCGATCCATTGGAGTTGGTTCTTCATTATCTTCGTCATCCAAGGTTAATTTTTCAATTTCCTTTGTTTTTCATTTCCTCTGTTTGGTTTTTCATATCCCCTGTTTTTCTTTATTGTATTACTATACGTAAGCTCCTTTCTGTACTCTTAGCTATCGAAGTTGATTCTGTTTATTTGAATATGTTAGTCCATAAATGAAGTCATGTTCTGCGCTTGTTTTATGATTGGCACAGTAATATTTTAGCCTTAATATTATGTTAGTCAGCGAGCAAAATGAGCAGCATGTGTAATGTTCATGGTGAGGAGCCTTGTGTAGTTACACATTTTAAATTTCTTAATGCCTTTTCCTGAACTAGCTAACTTGTCGAAACCATTGTTTGAAAATTTAAGCAAGAGTGACAAAATATTACCCTGAATTAAGGAGGAGAAACTGATCCTCTCTCTTTTTTTCTTTTCATATTAGCAGCTTTAGAGTTGCACCGTTGCTTTGGTTCTGTGCGCTGCAATCTAATGCGGACACAATCAGCTCGTGAACATCTGTAGAAAGGTAAAGGTAATTATTAAAAAAAAAAAAAAAAAAAAAAAAAAAAAAAAAAAAAAATCAGTCCTCCATGTAAAATCAAGAATGCTTCGAGATTTGGTTGGTAGCTTGAGATTCTGGTAAATTATTGTGATAATTTAATTATAAAGGCTTAAAATAATTCTGAGATATTATAAAGAAACTCTTTTCAGCAGTTTGTCGGCAGCATTATTATCTAGCAAATAAAAAAGTTGAAAAATATTATTTTAATATTTACAGTTATGGGGATATGTCTTTCAGCTCTGCTGGTGTGCCTTTTTATGTCTTCTGCATTATTTGTACAGCTATAATGTGAAAAAGAATGAGTATGCTGATGTGGATTGGGATAATCTTGGATTTGGTTTAACGCCAACTGATTACATGTATGTTATGAAATGCTCCAACAATGGCACATTTGAACAAGGCCAACTTAATCGTTATGGAAACATTGAACTCAACCCTGCTGCTGGAGTTCTAAATTATGGACAGGTAAGCAAATCTCCTCCACTCTTTCATCATCTTACAAATTTCATAGTTGGATTTTTGTTTTGACCCCAAAAGAAATTCATGGTTGGGATCAAAATGTAAACAGGGTTTGTTTGAAGGCACAAAAGCGTACAGGAAGAAAGACGGGAATCTCATTCTCTTCCGTCCAGACCAGAATGCAATGCGGATGCAGTTTGGTGCAGAAAGAATGTGCATGCCCTCACCGTCCGTCGATCAATTTATTGATGCTGTGAAGCAAACAGTTCAAGCCAACAAGTGTTGGGTAATCTTTGTTTTTATTTTTGCATTGAAACTTAATTCATTTGTGGACAAATTTATTTACAAGTTTACAAATGTGTGCCGTGACAAAAAAACAGGTTCCTCCACCAGGGAAAGGGTCTTTGTATATTAGGCCTCTACTTATAGGAAGTGGTCCTATATTGGGTTTGGCTCCATCTCCTGAGTACACTTTCCTTGTATATGCTTCCCCTGTGAGGAACTATTTCAAGGTTAGCAATTCTTTTACAATACTCAAGCTTATTTTATCCGCTTTCAAATTTAGGAAGATTTATATTCTTTCTGTTCTTTCAATAGGAGGGCTCTGCACCCTTGAATATATACGTCGAGGAGGAGTATGATCGTGCCTCTCGTGGGGGAGCTGGAGGTGTCAAAAGCATTACCAATTATGCTCCAGTAAGCAAAATAACTCATATGCTTAGTTATTTTGAGTAAAGGGCTTTGCTAAGACTTGTGTAAAATTCAAGTTTCATGGAAATAAGTGTGACTTCCTGTTATAATTTGTACTTCATATGTAGATTTTGAAGGCACTACTCAGAGCTAAAAACAGAGGATTTTCGGATGTTCTGTATCTTGACTCGGTAAATAACAAAAATTTGGAGGAGGTCTCTTCTTGCAACATTTTCATTGTGAAGGTATTGTTTTAGCTCTTTTTACTATACTAGGCACCTCGTTTTGTTTACAATTTTATTATAAAACTTCCCATGAAGCTTTTGTAACCTGTTGAAGTTCTTATTCTGCTTACTCTAAATCTTCAGTTTTGTACTCAGAATTGGCTTAGCATAGGTCTCTCATGCATGTAATTTCCATGTTTTAGGGCAACCTTATTTCAACTCCGGCTGCAGTCGGGACGATTCTTCCAGGAGTTACTCGAAGAAGCATTATCGAAATTGCTCGTGATCTTTGTTACCAGGTGATCTTCTATGCCAGTAAAACCACACCATTTTTTATTACAAGAAAAGAAAAGGAAACAATTAGTAAACTAAAAATCTTATCCCTTATGATCTGATTCTAACACCGGCCCCCAAAATGTGTTAGGTTGAGGAACGTCCTATTCCAGTGGATGAATTGAGTGAAGCTGATGAAGTGTTCTGCACAGGAACTGCTGTTGGGGTTGCCCCTGTGGGCAGCATTACTTGTCACGGCAAAAGGTGCTATTATAGGATCATCCAGATTATCATTTTTAAAAAAGAACAAAAAATTATCAAATTTATTTTGAAAAGAAAAAAGATTGGCAATTTGGCACATGCAGCTCTACAAAATTGTGCGACTCTTGTGGCAAAGTTCATGTAGGAATATTTCTAACTTGCTTTAGCTCATGCAATTGGCTCATATGCAGGATGGAGTATAAAACGGGCGCTCAGACTGTGTGCACACAACTTTACTCAACCCTCGTAGGAATTCAAACGGGTCATATTGAGGATAAGAAAGGCTGGATTGTTGAAATTGAATGATATCCCATTTCAGATTTTACAGTGGAATAAGATGTACAAAATTATATTCACCCACCACACTTTACCAAGCCATATGTACAGGCCGTCTCGGACTGCAGAACTACTGTGTGCCATTTTTATCAGTTATTCAAATCTACAACTTGCACCTAGTGTTAAATCTATCTTTGATTATTCATTAAACAACAGCCATAATCAATATCAAAATTTGATCTCGATAGAAATTACTCAATTAGTATATTAACCCCTAATCTTTGACAAATATCATGTCTAAAAAAATATGCATTGGTCCCAGTGGAAATAAAACCACATTATACTTTAACCTCGGAGGCTTAGAGTGGTTAAGAGAGTTCTTTTTGCTGCTTTTGGTTTAGTTTAAGTGGTGTGGGAGAGTGAGGTAACGAGTTAGAATTAAGATAAGCCAAAAATTCGATTCTCTCCGATATAACCAAGAAAAGAGAGCTACATTGCTAATTTGAACACTTTGATTAACGTATGATTTATCTACCAAAACTTGAAATAGTTATATTTAAAGCACAAATTAAAGTTGAGCTTTAAGAGTATTTGGTTTTTGTTGATTCTTAAATGTATCAAATCTTCGGGGTTGAGTCAAATCATGTCTCTTCCATGCCCTCAACTGAAGTGGTTGAAAATACAATACTAATAGTACACTCTAGTGAATTAGTGTTTTTCTTCTGGCCATTCATTAATTTCTTCTAATAAGGAATTTAGTTTTTATGCTGACTGGTAGTAGGAGAAAACAAAACCAAAATGCATAAATTCCTTGGGGAAGAAGAGTAACAGTAACCAAAATAGTGTTTCCATGACCAACTAGAAGAGTGCTTTTAAAAAAAGGCGTCAAAAGCTCAGTTGGGCCCTTTATCAATGAGGACACGAAGTGAAAATAGATAGTCATGTCAAACGTCTTTCATGCAGATACAGAAACATCATTGCATGATCTTCCTTCTCTTAATTAACCTGCCACCACTTTCTCCAGGCAACCCCAGCCATGTAAAACCTACCCATTACTCATTATGAAGTTTGCAACAACCCATATTGAGCCTTTTTGTTTTGTTTCTAATTTGCGCAGTTGTCATATTAATTTCTCTCTCTGAGAACTCTCCAAAGCAAAAACCCAAGCTGCCTCATTGTTCTGCCGGAGCTCCAAAGGACCAAAAGTTTGAGATTTCTGAGCAGGTTTTTCTCTCTGTCTTCCTTCTTATAAGTGACTATTCTCACGTTTTACTATATTTTTCTCATTTTTTGTTTGTAATTGTTAGCTGGTTTGTCTGGTACGCCAGTGCAGAGCAACCATGGCGGCGAGCCATAGAAATGAAGAGTTGCGTTCTGCTAAACTTCACATAGAAGAGATAAGGACTAAAAAGTTCTCTATTGGGAAGAAAGAACCAAACCCCTTAACCCTCGATCTTCATCATGCGGTCACCAGTTTATCTGCGGAACTGTACCAGAAAGACATCCATTTCCTGATGGAGCTCATACAGGTCTTTTGCTTCTTTTTCTTTTTGTTTTGTTGAAGAAAGTTTCAATTTTTTCCTTTCTGGTCAAAACTTCAACGAACTTTATAAACAATGTTAGGCTTCTGTTTTTATTTTTCGCGACTTTTTTTCTTTGTGGGTTTTTATTTGCAGAACGCAGAAGACAATGAATACAAAAAAGGGGTAGAACCAACGCTGGAATTTGTGCTGACCAAGAAAGACATAACTGGGACTGGAGCACCAGCTACTCTGCTTGTTTTTAATAATGAGGTTGGCTTTTCCAGGAAGAATATTGATTCCATCTGCAGCATAGGCCGTTCTACAAAGAAGGGAAAGAGGCAGCAGGGTTTTATTGGAGAAAAGGTAAACTATTAACAAGCCCTATTTCATTTTAAAACGCTTATATTACTTTTTAACTTTAAGTTGAGATTCCTTATCATGAAATTATTGAAAGGAGAAAAACAGAGTATGTATTTCCTGCATTTCACATCTTGATCTAGAAAAATGAACAGGAATGAAGGAGTCTCCTTATTGACTTCTGCCTCTGTGAATTAGGAAGTTTTTGAAGTCTAGATCTTCTACTAAGTTGTTGCCTTCAGATGCACACTTGCAGCATGTCTTGAATTCATAATAAATGTTCCCATTGTAATCAGAGCTAGCTAAATTCTTTTGGAAAAAAAAGCTAACATTTTGAGTTGCATGCTTACCTTCCTTATTAGTTGGAGTTAACAATAGGTGCCTTCTGAACATTGGTTATCAAGTTGAATTCATAATACCAATGTTTGCTTGCAGGAATTGGATTTAAAAGTGTGTTTCTTGTGAGTTCACAGCCTCATATATTTAGCAACAGATATCGGGTCAGATTTACGGAAGAACCAAACCAAGATTGTGGTATTGGCTATGTAGTTCCTGAATGGGTTAGCGGAAAACCTCATTTATCAAGCATATGTGATGTATATGGTGTCAACAAGATCTTGCCAACAACTACGTTTATTCTTCCCCTGAAGCCTGACAAGGTGGAGGCTGTTAGAGCACAGCTGTCAGAGCTTCACCCAGAGATTCTCCTGTTCTTATCCAAGGTGAAGCGGTTATATGTACGTGGTTGTGATCCTGAAGAAGCTGATGACATCTCTACAATTTCTATATTTAGTGAGAGTGAACATATGGATTTGAGCGATGAAAGAGCCAATTCTCGTGTTGTGCATCTTTCAGTAAAAGAGAAAAAGTGTGATACTGAGTTGTGCAAGTATTACTTGTGGAGAGAGGCATTTCCAGTAAAACCTGGGAATCAAGTTAGTATAAGGATGGATGTGGAGAAATGGGTGATTACTCTTGCTTTCCCGTTTGGAGAAAGACTGAGAAGGGGAACGTCTTCTGTTGGTATATTTGCTTTCCTTCCTACAGCAACGGTCACAAACTTCCCCTTTGTAATTCAAGCTGATTTCATCCTTTCTTCTTCACGAGAATCTATACTGTTGGACAATGTATGGAATTTGGGAATTCTTGATTGTGTCCCATCAGCCTTTGTAAATGCTTTCCAGTCTTGTGTAAGAGAACTTCAACTCTTTCCTTCCATGGATCAGACATTTCAGTTTTTACCTGCCCAAGATTCAGCAATTCCCGTGTTCAACAACTTAAGAGAGTCCATAAAAACTAGTTTGCGATGTCTACAGATAGTGCCTTCTGAAATATTTTCTGGTAAGAGTTGTTTATTCCTGACGCCTGAACAAGCAGTTCGGGTCTCGCCACAATTCAGGGACCTAGTCCTTCAAATGGAAAGTGAAGGGGCTATTTCAAGCAATTTATCTTCATTGAAGAAGGTCTTGCATTCATCTCTGGACCTCGAAAAATACAGTGCAGTTCTGGACTTTCTGGATGTGGCAGCTGCTAGTGGTCATTGGTACACAAAATGCATCAGATCCTGCAATATTGTGTTGTTATCTGATGAGGTATATGTTGAACTACTTGGTTTTATTGTTGATAATGAGAAAAGGTTTGCAAAAGGTATTAAGACCATACCTCTTATTAAATACATCAATAGCGAAGGAAACTTGGAATTGTGTACAATTGCTGAAACCACAACAGGGATTCCAGGGACACTGAAGGTTCGATATGCTATGGAGCTGGAGCTTCACACTTGGCTGAGCAAGTGCAATATGGAGTTTGGATGTCCTGGTGTGTATTTCATTCCCATAGCACACAGAAAGCTCTTTTAAAGAACAAACCAATTTGCAGAAGGAATTGGTCTGTCAGGAATTGGCTTGGCCAAGCAAGAGTGTCTTCTTGTTCAGCACATGGTTACGCTTCATTGCTTCAGAATCATGTATCAGGTAAGGAACCAAATCTTGCAGTTGCATTGTCCAATTTCCTTTATCACACCCACAGGAAAGGCTTCCTTGATGATAATAGCATATCTGATATTTGTCGAAGGATCCCAATTATTGATGGGGCTGACCATGTTAGAACGCAAAGAACCGTTACTCTTGTCCCTGTATTAGATAGCAAATGGATGAAGTTGTTTGGACCTCAAAACCCATTTGTGGAACAAAATTACGTTGATATAGGGTATGTTTATTCTAAAAGTAGACTGTTTCTGGGAGAATCTACGCCTGAGAAGGAGCTTCTTCATTTTATTAGCAAGCATAGTAAAGCTGTGGACTTACCGGAGTTGTATCCTCCAGATGTGGTGCTACAGATAGCATCTCGTGAACTGTCAAGTGAGCAGGCCTTTTTGCTACTCGATTGGATCAGATTTCTTCGGAATAAAGGTTCACCTTTACCTTTGATTTTCATTGAAAGCATTCGAGATGGAAAGTGGATGAAGACATATTCAGGTTATGTTTCTCCAAGAAAGGGCATTCTTCCAGATGAAACAGGGAAAGCTATTATTGATATGATGAAGGATGTTCTGAAGGATGTCCCCATTTTAGACCTGGAATTTTATATGAACCGAATCAATCTTTATCAAGATGAATTGAAATTTCTGGGTGTGGGACTTGGATCAGATGATGTGCGGAGGCTGGTTGCTAATTGGTTAAATTCCCTTGCTTCTCCTGGAATGAACAAACTGTGCACGTTTTCTTTGCTGACTTTCATTAATTTTTGTAGAGGAAGAAATACGATTGATGAGGACTGGTTGGATGTTGTGAAGGATAAGAGGTGGGTGAAGACTCATCAGGGTTATAATGCTCCCAAGGGATCTATTCTTTTGCCATCTGAGATAGAAGCTGAAACCTGTTTAAAAATTGCAAATCTTCCTATTGTTGATCAAGCATTCTATGGAAGCAGATTAGGTTCTTTCTTATCAGAATTAAGGCTACTTGGAGTTACATATGGTCTGGAGGAGGTGCAAAAATCAATTGCAGAGAATATGACTTTAACTTCAAATCTGTCTTCCCTGACTGGTAGTTGTTTTTTGTTGATTCTTAAATGTATCAGATGCTTGGGATCTGGAGCTGCGGGCTTGATTATAAAGATTAAATGTAAACCTTGGATAAAGACAACTTTGGGTTTTAAAACCCCTTCAGAAACTGTTCTTCCTGATCCAAGATGGGGTGCTTTGTTCACTGCTCTTCAGGTCCCTGCCATAGAGGAATCATATTATGGGGATGCAATTAGGAATTTCACTGATGAGTTGAATGCTATTGGAGTGGTGGTTGATTCTACCGGAGCAACTAAGATGATAGGTGCTCGGTTTAATTCCCTACTGTCTTCTTCTAGCTTAGCTCCTGCCACAACGATGTTGTTGTTAGGTTGCATCAGAGAGCTGAGTCAAAATATGTCTTTACAGTGCTCTGAACTGAAGTGGTTGTTGTGTGAGAAGTGGTTGAAAACACGTCATGGTTATAAGACACCTGGTGAATCAATTATTTCCGGCTCTAATTGGGGACCGATCTCATTTTTTGTTGATCTTCCTCTCATAGATGACGCACACTATGGTATTGCCATATATAAGTTCAAGGATGAACTCCAGATGTTGGGTGTCATCACGGATTTTGAACGAGGAGCTCCATTTGTTGCTAAAGGTCTCCACAGCCCAATTCAACCTGAACTACTTGCTGCAGATGGTATGATATCATTGTTGGAGTGCATCAAGCATTTAAGGTCCAGGTCTGATGATGAGCCTTTACTGGGTGACTTACGGCAGAACGTTGCAGAAAGCAGGTGTTTGAAGACCATGAAGGGTTACAAAATTCCACAAGAATGTGTTCTCTTTGATCCAGCATGGGAAAGTATTCTTAAGAGGTCAGATGCTCCAAGCATTGATGAATCTTTTTACGGAACTAGCATTTTTTTGTACAAGAATCAGTTGAGAGATATTGGTGTGAAGGTAGACCCATTGGATGTTTGTTCTCTTCTTTCTGGGCTTCTTTTGTCACTATCAGACAGGGGTGTAATTACAAGGATTTATGGCTTCCTGAACAAGTTCCAATGGAGTCCGAAAGATCAAGATAAATACAACTTTCAGGTGTGGATACCTGGCTCAAAGGGTACAGGTGTATGGGCTAATTCTCAGGATTGTGTACTTCATGATAGGAAAAATCTGTTTAGCTCCCGTTTGTTCTGTCTTGAGAAGTTTTACAAGAAAGGGCTCCTTCCCTTTCTTTCTTCAGCCTTTGGAGTTGCAGAAAATCCTTCCATCAATGATTACTTGCAGCTATGGAACTCATGGGCTCTGAGGGATAACGGTCAAGTAACTGTTGCAGAGTGCTGCTCCTTTTGGGAGTTTGTTGTAGACAGCTGGAATCAACAGGTAGAAGATATTCTGAAGCGGAACTTGACTAAATTACCTGCCACAATGGACACCGTTGATGAAATATATCTGGTGAGCAGAGAGGAAGTATTTATTGCTGATGACTTGCAACTGAAAAAGATTTTCTCCAGCTCTAATAAGGTTCCTCTGTTTGTGTGGATTCCCAAGAGTATAAGCGAGTGTTATATTACTCCAAAAAGACTACATGCAATTTATGAAATACTCAGAGTTAGAAAGATGTCTGAGTCAGTTGAGTGCAATGTGAGCAGCACGCTATCATTTGAGCATTGTGAAAAGGTTGATCCAAGAGAGAGATTAATTGGGAGGGGTTTAATCAAAATTATTCTGGGTTTTCTAGCTGGTCCTGAGGTAAATATGCCAGTGAAAGAGAGACACGAGGTCGCTAGATCGATAGTTGTACTGTCTGTGTACAAGAGTGACAAACCGATTCAAGTCTGCTATCAACTAAAGCCATCTGCAAGTACAACAGTTGAAGTGGAAAAATTAAAGCTGGTTCTTTGGGAGAAGAATTCTCCGCATTTGCTCATTGATGAATTAGGCTATGAGGATGGGAAAGATGATCTGGAATTTGTTGCTTCTTTTGCTGATGAACTCGCTCGAGGACTGTTAGCACAGGTGAGGCCTACTGCAGCAGATGCTCTGAGCAAGATTATCCAAATGGGGTATATGTTCAATTTTAATGAGAATGAAGTGGAGTTTTTGCTGATGAAAGACAATTTGGAGTTACTTGTGGAGGATGTTAAGTTTCTTGATTCTGCATTCCTCTCATCAAGAGAAACTACTGTAACTGCTGTGTATCGAAAGCGTGCACATAAAAAGTTAGAGCAATTAGGCCCTTCCACACCAATGCCTGCATGCAAGAAGCAGCGTCGGTTATAAAGGGGCATCGATCCTGTGGCTCTTTTTTCTTTGGTTCATGGCTTGAATTATCATAACCATAAAGTTTTATTTTGAATGTGTTTTGGTAGAATCCTCGTGTATATACGGGATCTGATGTCGGGCATGTAAATCTTTAGAATGTTGATCCTCTCCTTGGCTAGTTTACTTAAGTTTGGCTTGTAATCCAAGGATATGGTTATGCTTGTCATGGCTAATGGATGAATTGTGAGATGCCCTTTGTATTGTTATAACTTATATGAATATATCCTGGCATGAGCCTATATATCCTGGTTATCACAAAGTTCCATATTTCTCAGCTCTTTCTTTGTTTGTAATTTGCTAGCTGGGTTTGTTTGGAACGCTTTCTCTCTTTGCATGTTGAGTAAGCCGTTGCAGTGCAGAGAAACCATGGCAACCCCCACAGATCAAGCCTTACGTGCTGTGCTGCTAAACTTCACATAGAAGAGATTCAAACGCTTCACCATGCGGTCACTAGTCTCTCTGCCAAACCAGCAGGCAGCAGCATATATAGCCATCCATGCATTAATTAAAGGTAATCTAATCGGCCTATACAAATGAATATACCTCCACCAGTTACACCATGTTGACCCAGAAATGGTTTGTGGAAGTGGAACTCTCCCACCTCATCATGCATATGCAATCAAATTTTTGCCTATGTTTTTCTTTTTCCAGCTATTGGGGTAGTGGATAGAATGAACTTCGTAAAAATAGCACTAAATTCCTTTTTCTTTTTTCTTTTTTTTTTAATAAAAAAAGGTAACTCCGCCCTTTTCTACTACAACCCTTTGTATACAACTTTCTTCACGTGCTAGTCACGTGACCAATTTCGCTAGAACCATACAGTATACAACAATCATAGACACAGAGCTAAACCCATGACATACAATATACATCTTAACTAATCAAACATGTAATGGTGTAAAAGTTGACAACTTTGAAGGTTGGTTTGCATTTGACAAAACAAAAATGAGAAGGAAATATAATTGAGTTGCGTGGAGATACAGCTAATTGACTCGGTGCATATGAGTTGTGTGCCATCAAATTAAAATATACATTACTTTTTAAGTTATGGTCAAAAACAGAGAGAGTAAATAACAAATAGCCTGGAGAAGGAGGTGGGCTTGAGCTGTAGCCTGTATGGATGTGAGAATTGCAAAGATTGTCAAAAATAAAATAAAAAATAGTACTACTCAATTTTGTTGAAACATGTAGGTCCATTCAAGATTGGAAATATATGGATCGACCGCATCACAAAATCTTCATATCTATTATATTATTACTCTGTTCATGCTTTATTAGTGGAAGCCTTAGCGTTTCTACTTCTGTTTCTTTAGAATTTTGTATTGTGTTGCAAATTTCAAATGCTATGTTTTTCAAACTCTTTGCACTTTAAATGCATTCAGTAATTAAATTATTTTCCTCCTCTCTCACAATCATTCCTCATGTGCTACCTTAATTGAAGTGGCCTAACATGGATGCGATACGTTAAAACATGGTACGTAAGAGATGAATTGTGAATATCTGATGCAAATAGTGGAATTCATAATGTGAATGGTAACTACTAATAGTAGAAGTCTGATGTGAATAGTAACAGCAAATAGTAGAATTCTGGTGATGGTTGGCCGGAATTTGGTGGTCGGAATAGTGATTCTGGTTTAGGAGAGGGAGAGAAGAGAGACGATAGTTTCCCCTCCAATGTGTTGGTAAAGTGACACGTTATTCTCATTGCTTCACAAGAGAGTGTTCCGTTTATTAATATTTATAAATGGCATGCCAGTGATTGGTTTTTTTTCATGTTAATGATGCTTGATTTCACATTCTCTTCTACATGAGATGAGAGGTCTTTTTTATTTTCGCTTTCTTGTATCAAAGATTTCGCATATAAATAGTGGTCTCCCAAAGTAAGTAAGAGGGCGAGGTTGCGTTCTAGCTTTCTATAACATTTCCTTTATTTCCAATACTCTCCATCTTTTAACATCAGCATATAACTATAACAGAGTAGGGATTAATGTGAGAACTAATAATTGGAGTGGGGATTTTCACACACACAATCAAGATGGAAGAGAAAGGAATAAAACCAAATAGACAACTAACTCGATCGGAGCGATCCGTGGACCAAAGAAAATGATCAAATGGCACAATATGCCTTTGCGGCATACTCAGTTTCACTGAGGTCTTTCTGTGCTCTAAGAAATTCTAGGTGATTGAAAGGCTTATACCTTAAGGGGTGGTCCTTGTCCACAAGCTCATCTGGTACATGTATCACCCCTTTATGCAGTGAAAACAATCCGAACGAGTATCTCACCTCATTTTCCTTCAATGTCACTCTATGTCTACACGGTCGAACTCGATCGTTGCTCCAAACCTAGGCCAATCAAAGCATGCAAATATCCTTAGCCTATTTTGGATTGCTTCTCACATATAGCTAGATTTCTAATAAAAAATTTCAACATTCTTCGAATAAACCGAGCATCTTGAACAAACGCTTATAAGCAGAAGTAAGCAGCAGAAGTGCTCCTGTAAAAGAGTCTCAAACGAGCTATAAATAAAGCATGAACAAAGGTATTATTTGGTGGCAAACCTGAAATACGTCTCCCGCCATGAATATCACGGATGAAGGCAGAGGATCAAAAACTACCCACTCATCATTCTTTGTATTGATCTCCAGACCATTGATATGATCTTGATGGAGTATGGAGGAAAAGGTCTTGTCCGTATGACTGCGTAAACCCACATCAACTCCAAGTTTCTTGGGTTCTTTGTATTTTATAAGCCGGAGATAGTAAAAAGTCGATCGGAAGTGATCGTCATGGTACTTTTCTACACCATAGTTTTCAAATACCATTCTTGTCACAGCTTCATCTATCTCTGCCATCACTTTTGCATACAAGTCAGCAGTCTCACTGTGCCACAAGAACAAGTGTATTAATCTTGTAAACAAACTAATAAGCTATATATATATATATATATATATATAATATAGTTGTAAATCGAACTTGGAAGGCAAACTTGTATGTAGAATAAAATTATACCGAAATTGGTCGTTTCCATTTGGCCAAAAATGATGCGTGAATTCCTGAGTTTCTTGAGGGTTTGTGCCATTAATAATTCCAAAGGTATTCTGCCCAGAACGTGAAGTTACGTAGCCAGCACGTAAAGGGTTGTCAGGAGTATCGACGGGGAAATTAAACAACTCGTCAAATGCATTAAAGATGGTTTTGTGAAGTTCCGGAGGAACTTTGCTGGGTAGGATTGCCATGAAACATCCGAGCTCTTCGAGAGCCCGACAAACGTCTTTGCGTGCTGAGAGCCAAGAGCTTGTCCCCGGCTTCAGGCAGTCCGCTTTCGAGAAATCTACCACTGGAATCCTGGCCACAGTTTGGGAACTCATGTTCATCTTTTTTCTTCTTGGTTCTCTCACTGGCTGTATATGAGATTCCGAGGGCTCTAAGCATAAAGTAGTGCAAGATGCATGTACTAAAAATGACATTTAGATTTTTAATATTCCTCAAACCTTGTCCAAAAAGGCCAGTATGAAAAAAAAAAAAAATCAACTGACAGAGTCGTTGGCATTTCATCAAGCAGGTGGTGAATGGGCCATGGTGATCGTTTGTTGGGTCCGCCACTACGATAAGTTAAGGAGTGAGTGATTGTTATGTCAATGCCGAACGAAACCACTTTTCATTTGTTTAATTAATGTGATTTTAAATGGTTACTATATAATTGTTCGAGACAATACAACAGAGTGTGTGTGTGTGTGCGCGCTTAATGTGATACGATAACCCAATTCAGTCCAGCCACTTGTTACAACTCTCTTTTTTGGGCTGTCTCTTCTAACCCCCATAGAATGTTTGCCTACCCAGTACCAGCCCAATCAATATGGGCCCATCAAAACAAACAACCACTCGCTGCAAGAATTCTATAGTTCGGACTCGCCCCTTTTCTTTTCAATTTTCACCTTAGCATATGTATGCGTGTTTCTAGAATGCTGATCTCCAATGCATTGGAAAAGTGAAATATTATGAAGAGTTTTTAGGTTCAATGGTCCTTGAATTTAGATTCAATTCGCATTTTGGTCTCTCAATTTTCAAAATCGTTTTTGTGGTGTCCTTCAACTTCCGTTTCGTTAGGACCAAAGGTCATATTGTCAGTTTTGTCAATTTTCTGTCAAAAATAACCATGTGTTGCTCACGTGGGGATTAATTGAGGGATAAAAACGGAAATTACTTGGCTCATGATATATGTGGAGCAATTCCTACTTGGCTCATGAAATTACTTGGCTCACTAGCTGTATATGAGGTTTTGAGGGCTCTAAGCGTAAAGTAGTGCAAGATGCATGTACCAAAAATGATATTTAGTTTTTTTTTCTTCCTCAAACCTTGTCCAACAAGGCCAGGATGACAAATAATAGTAATAATCAAGTGATAGAGTCGTTGGCATTTCATCAAGCAGGTGGTGATTGGCCCATGGTGTCGATAAGTTAAAGAGGATTTTCAGCGGGGCCCTAATCCGGTCAACAGGACCCTTAGGCCTCCAATCTCGTTTCAGCTGTCAAGGCTTTCTAGAGCAAGCGTTGGGCTCCACCAGCCTGGGCAAGGCCCAAAATAAGATTTGTCTAGACGAGATGACTTAATGCTGACGTCATTATGACATCAGCAGTCAATTTAAATAACAAAAAAATTGAAGGAAAAAAAACCCCAAAATTTCAGAATTTTTTATATTATAAATACCTAGCCATATTCTTCACTTCCCACATCAAAACTCTATATAAATTCATCTCCTCATATCTTATGTGAATAGTGGTTGTTCTTGAATTGCCATGGCAACGGGTAGAAAACCAACAAAAAATTGATAGGGCAAGGACTATTCATGTAAATAGTAATAGTCATTGCTTCTCCTTACCTTTTGCCATAGCAAATGAGTGGAAAATGCTCTAAGGAGTGAGTGATTGATGTCAATACCAAAACCACTTTTTATTG